CCGGTATTTCGGTATTTTTCAATTTTAATATCGGTTTACTGGTATATATTAAAAATTAAGTTTTGAAAAAACCGGTATTTGACTAAAAAATAACGGTATACCGGTTATAGTACCGGTATTTTAGCCTATTCTTGATTTTTCCAGTTTTTTTTTCTAAATAACACAAAAATATTGGTTTACCGGTATATACCAAAAGTTACGTGTTGAATAATACCGGTATTGGACTAAAAATACCGGTATCAATAGGTTAGGTTGTTTGTATCGGATTGTAACAATGAAATACTATATTTGTTCATGTCGTCGCTCGATGACATGCCGAACAAGTGTAACACGACGAAAAAATAATTCACGCTGTGTTATTTTACATTACATTGTGTGCGCGATCAAGCATTAAGCATTTATTATTGATAGCAGCATATTGTCTCGCATCTCATAACTTTAATGCCTTCGCCACGTCGAAAAAGCCCTCGATCAACTTGGGTGACTTTTGTCGCCGGTGTTCACAACATAAACACTCGAAAACAAGTGAAACCAGCTACGGCAGCATTAAAAGCCTCCCCGGAACGCATTCGAGCATGTCGCGCATTCAAAACGTAAAAAATCACAAGGGTAGCACCCAAACGCCATGATGCAACAATGGAAGCATAGTTTATTGAGTAATTACACGCGGCGCAGCGCCAAAACAGAGTGAAAACGATGCAACAACCTGAATACAAATACACCAACATATGATAACGAAAAAAGCGCAGAGGGTTGATGAAGGAGTGGAAGGCGATGACATGATTGATAATCGTTTGCGCGACGTGCGGTCGCCGGACGCGTCGATCGCTTTGAATATTTAAACAACCGAGGAAGTTTCTCATTATTTATTCAGGATGCAGATCGATTGATGCAATTACCTAAGTCTTGAAATATAAAAAACATCATGATTACATAATTATAAGACAATAGAAGGAGAATAAAACACATTTTACAGTTTTGCGTACGGTTAGTTATTAAATAAATAATTATTTACTGCGCGGTTGGATCCAGTTGAAAGTCAAGTACATTCGAGTCCTTGAAAGTTACAATCGTGCAAATTGCGTAATTTTTTTTGTTCACACACTCATTATCACCGTGTATACCGTATTGATTTAATTGATTTAATCTCAACGCGAACATTTTGCATAATTTTGCATTCTGCACGTTTTATTAGTTGTAATTATAACAACGCATGGTAATAGTATAATCAATTGTAGAGTGAAACACTTTGAGAGAGGATTAAACAATCATTGAGTGTATCTTGGTTACTTGACAATGAAAATAATGATTGGACACGATTTGCACACTTTTATTCATGGTTAAGTTTATTGTCACGGACAACACGTAATAACAATTCTTATATTTTTACTTCCGCAAGTTTTTTTTTGTTATTTACGAAAGAAAAACGTAAAAATCAACGTTTTAATAAAATACAAAATAAAGATATAGACTATAATGTTGATTCATTAGTTGTTGAAATTGATTCGAGTGACATTGGAGTTTGATACACGCGAGAGGAAACACAGTTTAGCGATACTTATTGTGCCCACTTAACCATTTAGCACCCCTCCGACTAGGCTGTGGGTGCGTGCTGGCCTCATGTCTCCCTCTTTCTTCATCCCTCAATCATCTCTCGTCGGGCATGCTCTCCCCTTTTCATGGCCAGTGTTTGCGGGTGTTTGCATCCGTCTGGCGAGTTATTTTCGTCGCAATTTGATTTCATTGCCGTTTTGCCATTACCACTTCGCTCGGGAAACTAATCAAACTAAGCAGTGGTGGATGTTCCATTCATTCACTTATTGCGAGCAACCTCAGCGTTTTATTCCGATTAGTTTTATTCTGCGCAAATATCATCCGCGTTACATTAAAGTCGTAAAAATAGGTTAAACGCGTTCTTCACCTCACAGCCTAGTCACCTTGGACCCAGCGACCGTGATGTGATGAATAAATTATGAAGCACATTTTCAAGTCTGCGAGGAACATGCAAAGTTTTGTCTTGGGTTTCAAGTTCCCTTGTTACAAACTTTACTTTAACCTGTGTGGGAAAAGTGGGGGAGTAAAATACAATAGCGCGGCGTTTAGGTTAGGTTAGCAGCAGTAAGTCATAGCAACACGACCGACGCGACGATACCCTTAATCCGTCTGCACTCTGAAGCTCAACACCCAGGACACATTTGGCTAAATGGAATGGATTAGTCGAGGCAGTCACAAAGCCTACGCATAATGCACTACCTCACTGCCTCACTGAATATATCATCCGGCATATACTTGCCATTCCGCAAATTATGCATATGTAAAGTGTAAGTGTTGCACACCAGATGCACCTTCACTTAGGGGTGAAATTAGGACCCCACGACCTTTTTATTATCAAATTCTCAACCAGTAAATATTAACAAGCATATTGAACTTTGAAAATCCCAAGTCCCTGATGTTTACATTTACACTTTGACCATAAAAACTACTTAACCGATCATCATGAAAAGGAATTTGTACACACATATTCTTGAGTAGTCCCCAGATAGTTTACATAAGGCTACTTTTATTTAATAAAAAGAGTATTTTTAAATAAAATAAAGAAATTGTTTAGCCAATAATACCTCTGCATCTTGCTATTTGACTACTTTAGCATAAATAGCATTCCAACAATGAGCTCAAACCTAAGTACTATAGTACCATCACTGCTTATTACCGACAGCTACGTCAACATCAAATCCAATTGACTACACTATGGAGACTGTACACTATACTTCCATAGACTATACTTTCAGCCATTTTAAACTTCCCGCCATTCTACTTCATTATTACTTCTTCTGTGACTACAGACGCGTACGGAAGCAACTAGTAAATTCATAAAAATCAAAAATAAATATTTTAATCAGTTAAAAGCGTTTAATACTCTAAGTAGATTTTCGCTTTCGCCAAAAAATCACCATTCGACTAAACTCAACGATTGTCAACAGATGGTGAGCTTTTCTATTCCATTTGAGCATTACCTCACCCTACACCCGAGTAATACCAGTTTTGCAGGGATCATTGCGTCCGCTCAATGCACTTTACAAATGTATGCATGATATGCATGTGTGGAACATTCGGATCAATTTCGCTAAACCTTTTTAACGTCTCGCCAAGTCAATGTGGGGTGTGTGACAACCAGAGAGTTACTCTGATGTTTGTATCGGGTAATAATCCACAATTATTTTTATTGCTTTCCGTCCCATCGGCATTGCTACATATTCACTTTGCATCCATAACTCATGCGAGAGTGACAAGTCACTTGCTCCCTGAGCGCATAAACGCATACGTGACGTATGAATATTTAATTGGCGCATATCGCATTGAATTATTATCGATGCACATTGCTGATTGGATTGTATCCAAGGTGGGTGTTTTCAGAAACACAGACACTTGGTAAATAAAGATTAAATTAAGATTAGGGATTAGGATTTATTGCAATTCGTAATGGATTTATTGACGTTTAACTTTGAGATAAAAATGTGTTTTAATTATCTTTTATTAGTCATTTAAACTTTACTAATGAGAGAAAGCGTCATAAACATCAGGTTATAAATGCAAATGACACAATTTTTTTCTAGGTTATATGAATATTTAAGGTTATGTTGGCTGATGAATTATGAACGCTTCAATTGTGTGTAACTGTACGCTATCGATCATACAAGACGACATAAACTAATATAACGCTTCTTTGTGCTTCTTTGTTATGTATGTACTTTCATTATTCTGCGGCCGCCATCTTGACTTGCTTTTATTCATCGCACAAGCATTCCGCTGGCGCATCCCTGACGCACAAAGAAAAAAGCTAATGTAACGGAATATAAAGCGCAAACGTACATAAAACTTGCGCGGCGAATGATACAAAATGAAAGCCGGCGAACGAAAAACGAAGAAAATGAATAAAACGAAAAACGCCGGAATGAAACTTGCGCGCCGTCTGAAACTCGGGAAAACGAAGAACGCGCGGAGAAAAATAAGAAAAAGGAGCTATAAAAGACTTCATTTCGTCCCCTTTCGGCAATAACCTCCACCAAATATTATACAGAGTGTTTTAATATCAAAATGTTTTAATGTCGCGTTTATGCATTTTGAAATGTTGATGGGATGATTGGTTTTGGGTACGCTCTGTGCAATGTGTAAACCTGTCGTCGTGCGTTGTAAATGCGGTAGAATCCGTCGTTGCGAAGCGAGGGTGGAGCGTCGCGGCGCCCTCAGTTGAGGGGGGCCTCATCCCCTCCGCGGCGTCGCTACCGGCGACCAATGAAAATCCAGCGAGTGGAATACGGAGGCGCCGGGAACCTTCAGGAAGGGTGGGATGGGTGAATCAAGAATAAATTCAATACAAAAATCTACAAAAATTTAAAAATAAAAAAATAAAAATTTAAAAACAAAATCAATAATTTTTAAAGTCTTTTAAACAAAATAAAAAATTTTATAAATAAAAAATTATTATTTAAGTATTACTAGAGTATAATTAAGTTTAATTAAAAAATTAAATGTTTATCATGTATTATGTTGATTTTAATGTTGTATAAACCTAGAATTGTAAAAGATAACAAAGGACGAACAAAAAAGTCTCGCCCCTTTTCACTTGTATGAACCCTTTGTACATGGTACGTAGGCGTCGCTTGCGTGTGCATGGGATGCGCCGCCGCAATTTGACTGCGTTTGCCTGACCCTACGTTCGTTTAGGTTTAGTTATCGTTGTGTCCTGCGCGAGTACACATGTAAGTTTAGAACATAGAAAAAGTGCAATATCACACACACGCATAAAAGAATGATAAATCACGATCGTGCGGAAAATAAACAATTAAACATTGAAATGATGCGCGTTCCGCCAATATCCCTGGAAGATTTCCCAGATTATTTACTTTGTACGTATTTAAAACCCAGTGATTTGGTGTTGTAATAAAGTGTGCTGTTGTGGTTGTTAAAGATTCCAATATCGTTTCTTGGATTTGTTCCAGCAACCATACCGAAATGCGGCGGGTGTCACGAGATGATTCTGGATAGATTTATTCTCAAAGTTGCCGACCGGACGTGGCATGCCAAATGCTTACAGTGCAGCGACTGTCGTGTGCAGCTTACTGATAAATGCTTCGCACGAAACGGCCAGCTTTTCTGCAAAGACGACTTCTATAAGTAAGTAAATCAATTTCGAAATATATTTATTATGCATGAATGAGTTGCTGTATCTAGTCACCTATTTAACCTTGAACTATTTATCCGAATCAATTCAAATGGACCAAACCCATTTTGTTTGTTGTTTTGTTGATTACATCATATTATGTGTGTGAAAAAGTCTCGTAAAGGTGTAACAATGACGCTTGTTTATGTCGCGTGCTGTGGGTGCAGACGATTCGGCACCAAATGTGCCGGATGCGATTTGGGCATTCCGCCGACGCAGGTCGTCCGTCGCGCCCAGGACAACGTCTACCATCTTCAATGCTTTGCGTGTGCCATGTGCGCACGTCAGCTGAACACCGGAGATGAGTATTACCTGATGGAGGACCGTAAACTGGTATGCAAACCAGATTACGAAGCTGCTAAAAGTAAGGGTGAGTCCCCGATGGGTATCAGCCATGTTGTAACTTAACCTTGTTTGTTTAACCTCTCAGCTGCTGAGTGTCTCGATGGTGATCAACCCAATAAACGACCAAGGACGACTATAACTGCGAAACAACTAGAAACTTTAAAAACAGCGTATAATAATAGTCCGAAACCTGCGCGGCATGTCCGAGAGCAATTAAGTCAGGATACTGGGCTGGATATGCGGGTAGTGCAGGTGTGGTTCCAGAATCGGCGTGCGAAAGAAAAGCGTTTGAAGAAGGACGCGGGGAGGACGAGATGGAGTCAGTACTTTAGGTCTATGAAAGGAGGAAGTTCACCCAGGCATGATAAGTTGATGGATAAGGATGATATGAAAGTGGATTTGGATAGTTTTAGTCATCATGGTATGCATTACAACCTTAACCTAACCTCAAATCAAAAAAAATAATTTTTTCAAATTTTTGTTTTCTGATACAGATTTAAGCGATGATAGTTATGGAACCGTGGTAAACATGGGCATGGAAAACGATTCGAGTCCGCATAGTGCCAGAGGTCCTTCGTTTCTCCACGGGGCAGGATCACCTTCGTACCTTCCAGGACACACTCCACCACATGGCCATGAACACTTTCCATACCCCGATCAACTCTCAGTCTACGCATCAATAGGTCAGTAAATTTATTTTCTTATAATAAAAATACTATGCCTGATGGAGGACCGTAAACTGGTATGCAAACCAGATTACGAAGCTGCTAAAAGTAAGGGTGAGTCCCCGATGGGTATCAGCCATGTTGTAACTTAACCTTGTTTGTTTAACCTCTCAGCCGCTGAGTGTCTCGATGGTGATCAACCCAATAAACGGCCAAGGACTACTATAACTGCGAAACAATTAGAAACTTTAAAAACAGCGTATAATAATAGTCCGAAGCCAGCGAGGCATGTCCGAGAGCAACTTAGTCAGGATACTGGGTTGGATATGCGGGTAGTGCAGGTGTGGTTCCAGAATAGACGTGCGAAAGAGAAGCGTTTGAAGAAGGACGCTGGGAGGACGAGATGGAGTCAGTACTTTAGGTCTATGAAAGGAGGCAGTTCACCAAGGCATGATAAGTTGTTGGATAAAGATGATATGAAAGTGGATTTGGATAGTTTTAGTCATCATGGTATGCATTACAACCTTAACCTAACCTCAAATCAAAAAAATAATTTTTTTATTTCTGTTTTTTGATATAGATTTAAGCGATGATAGTTATGGAACTGTGGTAAATATGGGCATGGAAAACGATTCGAGTCCGCATAGTGCCAGAGGTCCTTCGTTTCTTCACGGGGCAGGATCACCTTCGTACCTTCCAGGACACACTCCACCACATGGCCATGAACACTTTCCATACCCCGATCAACTCTCAGTCTACGCATCAATAGGTCAGTGAATTTATTTTCTTATAATAATAAATACTATGATAGTATTTGGGTTGTTTAGGTCAAGGACATCCACCTGGAATGCCTGGTATGCCACATGGCCTGCCGCCGGGTGCTGACACGGATGTGAGCAACGACAGCAGCCCTCGCAACTATCCCGACTTTCCGCCCAGTCCCGACTCGTGGCTGGGCGAACCCTCAAGCGCCCACTACTGACCCCCTTGCCGAAGTCACCACAACACAGCTGTGAAACGAGCAACTAAAACAACAACGCGTATTACGATACGAGTACCATTCATCTTTATTCATTTATATACAATTATTTGAAACAAAAAAAATTATCAAAAATTGCAAAGCTCGAATTTATGTACAAATATTTTCAAACATCTTACTTGAATTAATTATAACAATAATAATGCACACATAATAAACAAACAAATGACTGTTGATTAATTAAAATTATCGAAGGACACGAAGAAATAAGTGAAAGCAAGTGAAAATTAACCCAAAGTGAAACTAAAATTGTATGTATAGTTATTATTTATTATTGTTCTAGTCATTCGAGTAAGCAACTAATAAATCGATACAAAACACAAAGAAAAAGGATGAAGACCCAATAAATAAATAAACACAAACTATTACATAAATAGAGCGGGAAGAGAAGAAAAAAAAACTATTAACACTATGTGTCTCTGTTTTAATTAATATTCTAGTCGTCGAGTATTGTTTTTGATTTTAATAAATTAAACTAATAACGTGAAGAAGAGTACAGTTGGTTGCATAACTATAATTCCGTTGTTGTAACACCCCAATACTGTTGCATTCTATCCAGATCCAAACTGTCAGCTAATCCCCGCTCTTGCATGACTGCAAAATCATATTCTAAATTATACGGCATTAATCGTTGTAAACTGCCGAAATACGCAGCGTGTGGTCCACCTATTAACTTTTTATCAACTGACATTCGACTACCGTTGAGGTTAGCTCTGTTGGTGATCGGATTGAAAGACCTGGCACTACCAAATTGCCTGGAAAGGAATGACCCGGTTCCAGTTGAGTTGCTGCTCGTTGAGTTCTCTTGTGAAAGATGTGGGCTACTTCTGGATAACGTAGAATTCTTCAATGTGAAAGGGGACCTACCACGGTTACCCTTATTAAGAGTGTTGAGTTCTTTATCAAAGAGGAGTTGAGTGTTTTGCTCCAGCATGTATTCCCAACACTTGAACTGCTCCTCGGATAATGCTGAATCTGATTCTTCATTTCGAGACTTTTGATCTTCATCTATTCTGGTGCGGGCTCTTACCGCACGTGCAACTCCTCTGTAACTCCTTCGTTCCGGTGAGATCTTCACCTCTGCGGATTCAAAATGAGGAGTTATGGATCTCATTGATCTGGTTTCCATCTGTTGTCTATTGAGCTGATTAACAAACATCTTTGCAGGTGCATGCCCACTATGACAATCTGAGCAAGCATGTTCAGATTGCCCACTTGGGGAAGACCTATCATCATGGTTCATGAGTGGCATAGACAGTTTCTCACAGTTTACACATTCGTTGTTCAAAGCTTCACAACAACAACCTGGTTGGCATGCTTCCTGATACTTATTCTTTCTGATAGTCTGTCGGAGTTCTTTCATCAGGAGATCTACATCAGATCCTATCAAATTGAATTTTACCACAATGACACTAAGATTCTCTTCTGCACCATAGCTTTGAGCAAGGTCCTGTAGACGTTTAGCTGCTAGAATTACATTCCTTTGAAGACTAACCTCCTTGATAGCTACATCAGGAGACATTACATCCCAAAGGTTCTTATTGGCAATGATCATGTATTCATCTTGTTCATCCAGGAAGATCTCAGTCACATCCGGGTCAGGCACCATAAGTTGCAACTGTGGGTTAGTACGAATTGTTTTTCTTTGTTTAGTGGGAAGCAGTCTTATAGGTCCTGATGACCTCCCTAGTACCAAACGAGCATCTCCTACACTAGCAATTCTCATCGCGTATTTTTGACACCTCCACAGAAAGAATAATCAGCATTAACTTTAGATTTCAGTATATGTACAATTATAGCATTCATCCCATGCTTTTGACCTTTATCTTTCAACTCCCTATGTGCTGATAACATGGTATACTTCATATAATCAGCAGATGTCTCCTTAACAGTCCGCTCTTCTAATAATATCCTGGGGACCACTTTATCAACACATACAGGCATGTCAGAATTATTTTCTCCATCAAATAATCCAAATAACCCTTCGGTATTACAGAAATTCGGAAGTCTTATTTGCGAAACGTAAAGTTTCTGTTTGTTTCCAGATGTTTCTGAGAATCCCACAGTCCAACAGGTTTCAGTCAGATCGTTTTCACAAAATGGCGATGGAGTCACAGGCAACGACGTACGATTCTTCCCAGAAACATCTACAAGAGACATGGGCCTCTGTGTCCTGTATGTGTGAAACTGTTGGGAGTCCACGTGCAACTTCATATTGCATGATAAATCCAGAAACTTTAAATGTGGGGGTACAAGTGAGGTTAAGTCAATTCTATCCAATTGATTGTGAGCTAAATCCAAAACTCTCAATGCAAACAATTGAGATAACTGAGGAATATTCTGTAACAAATTTGAGTGGACCCTCAAAACACTCAAATGTTTCAATCGTCCAATATTCTCAGGCAATCTCAGTAACTTATTCCCAGAAAACACCAACTCTTCAATTTCCGTCCAGTATTGCGGACAGGATTCTGGCATTGATGTAAAATTATTATAAGCTGCATGTAGACTTTTCAAACTTCGTAAATACCTCACAAGTTTCTCTAAACTTTTATCCGTTAGACAATTCGCAGTTATGTATAATTTCTCCAGGTGTAGATCATCTTCAGGTTGAGGAAGATCACAGAGTCGATTATTTGAAAGATTCAGAACTTTTATACTAGGAATATATTTAAAGAAGTTTTCTGGAAGAATGGATAAACTATTGTTTTGTAGAAACATTTCTTGAATCGGTAATCTTCTTTGAATATTCGGTAGACTTTCCAGTTGATTGTAGGCCAGTTGGACTGTATGCAGAAACGGCATCTCATTGCAAAACAAGTGATCCGGTAGATGGCGCATGTGGTTGTTACTCGCGAATAACGATCGCAATTCGGTGCAATTGCACATCCATTCCGGAAGGCTTTCGAGTTCATTGTAAGAGATATCGAAATGTTTCAACTGTTCTGGTGGATAATTCACAGCAATCTGTCTTATTCCTAAGTTTTAAAAATTGAATAAAAATTACGAATGTTTAAAATAATTTTGACTTACGGTTGTTTCCGGCAATTATCGAAGTTAAATTTTTTCCGTAAAGTGTGAGTTCCGTCAAACTATTACGGGAACACTGCAGAATTTCAAGGTGTTCAACGGCGGTGAGGTCCAAAATCTCGATGCTGTTCTCGCTGACGTCTAATTCGGTCAAACTCTAAAGGAAGCAACAAAAGCACATAAACAAACACGGATTTTACGGCACACTTGGAAGTACGAGTAAAAACAAGGTTTGTTAACTTTAATCAGCGAAGCGTGCCATTTAATATACGTATTGTAGTGCGGTTGTTGCTCGTTTTCTGTTACGAGTGTTGGCAATGTGTCGTGATTACACTGCACGCGTAATATTTGGTAATAATGTAATTTCATGTCGTTTACTGCAGAAATAAATGACGAAAATCTACAATTTTGACATGGATTTTAAGCGGAATATATTCCCGACTTGTGCAAATAGTAGAACGTGACAATCCCTACTAATATTATAAATGCGATAGTCCTGATGTTTGTTACACTTTCACGCAAAAACTACTTAACCGATCATCATGAAAATTTGTACACATATTCTTAGTGGTCCCCGAATGGTTATAGGCTACTTTTTATTTAATAAAAAAAATTATTTTTTAAATAAAATGAAGAAATTTTTTAGCCAATAAAACCTCTGCACCTGGCTACTTGACTACTTTAACGCCATCTAGCATTCCAGCAATGAAGCTCAAACCTAAGTACTATAGTACCATCACACTGTATTATCACACTGTATTACCGACAGCTACGTCAACATCAAATCCAATTGACTACACTATGGAGACTGTACACTATACTTCCATAGACTATACTTTGAGCCATTTTAAACATCCCGCCATTCTACTTCATTGTTACTTCTTCTGTGGCTACAGACGCATAAAGCTAGTTTTAATTAATTTCGGGTTAGACTCACGCCGTAATTGCCCAAAATGATGTTGCCTTTGAGCCGGTTCGCACGCAGATTGAGATTGGTAAGGATGTTGGTCTTGCATGAGTTTTCGGGCTTAATTTCGGTGTTGTCCTAGAGAACCACAAGCAAAACGCTCGAAATTAACTTTATTTCGTGTTGTCGGTTTTAATTGCTTACCGTTGGAGGCAGGACCAGCGACCGCATCTCGGTGTGTTTATCCGGAGGCAGCGCCAGCCGATTATGGCCGATTTTCAGCACTTTCAATCGTTGTAACTCCCATATGGTCTTCGGCAGGACACTCAACGCATTCTGGTCAAGAATCAATTCGCGCAAACTGCAATCATACGATGGCTGAGCATTACTCGCGCGCGTCTATGACTAATCCAAGCAAACAAAAAAAAACGGTTCAAAAACCCGAGCAGAGCGTGTAGAATTAAAATTGTACGCGTAACGTCTTCAGGCCGCTGGGTGCAATGGTACAATGTGCGTTTACCAAGAACACAGAAACAGCAGAAAATGAAAGTTGGCGCGGGCAGGCAGCGGTGCGTGCACGGAGGATGCACAAACGGGACACATCCAAGGACGACGATTTTCACCACACGACGATAGCTGCACTCTATTGACAAAAAGTCACCACTTGTCACTTGGTTCGTTACGCGCAATTGTTGATTATCGATTGATGCAAGCGTTTTAGTTACTGAGCGCTGAGCGAGTCGATGAACGCGCAGGTCTGAGGAGCTGAGTTCACTTGGCGCGTGCCCGGCTTTCCAAGCGAGGTATTCGTGATGGAAGCTGCCAACCGAGACCGACTCGGGCGTGAACGAAGAAGTTCTCTGATGACCACCAAGTGGGATGGTCAAAATATATTCATTACAATAATTAAACACTATAATTTTTAAATTTGCAAAAAATTAACCTAAAAAATTACTATAGAATTTTTTTATCTTGAATAATATTCATATTATTACCAGTTATAATAATTTTTTATACAAGTAAAAGTTTTTTATTAAAATTTTTAATTTTTTTGAATTTTTTGAAACACCCTGTATGATTTTCTTGGTTTTTGTGCGATATTGCTTCATAGGCTTCATATGCAGTGCGGCACGGGTATAATGTATGCGTTGCGGACGGTTAAGAGCCCGTGAAGGAAACAACGGAAGTTCGTATTCGTTCGTTTGTTGCTTGGATTTTTTCTTTTTTGAGTTGGAGTTTGTTCAAAAGAGTGCAATTTCTATATACAACTCACAAGTGCTATATTTGCATATAGATAATATAAACAATAAATAATAAACAATCTCCTACTAATCTAACCTAAAAATTGATTTATTTTTGAGGTTATCTAACCTCAAATGCAAATCAAACAATCTCATAACCTCCAAATCTCCAAAATTCGACAATCTTTCACAACACTTAATAAATTAGTCTTAATTGAATATTCAGACAGTTTAGCAGATATCAATACATAGAATATTAATGAACTTTTCATGTTTTGCATACAATTTCCGTTTTCTGCAACAATCCGCTCATCCGCTGCAGAAGTTTTCTTCTATTTTTGCTCATTTCAGTTTAAAACGATTCTTTTTGCTTTGAGCGTTTCTCCGCCTTCGATTAATTATACATAGTTGTTCGCAATATCGGCGATGCGGAACGCGCGCGCGGATTGAAATGAAAAGAAGCACCACAATGGGCAGAGGAGAAGAGGAGGCGAGCACTTTCCAGTTTAATCAAAGAATGAATGAATGATGAACACGAAACACAAAACGAACGAAGCCGCCCGGTGGCAGCAGCGGCGGCGGCAGCGGAGGAGCGAATTGAATGGAAGCACGAACGCATGGAGAAGACACGCAACGACGCACTTTTTAAATAATGCAAGCGCACAAGACTGGAATTGCTAAACCAGAGACAAATCACGGCCGAATCTCAGAGAGCAAGAAAAGAAATAAACAAGATTTTGTTAGATTCGCGCATGACAATGCCTATCTTATAAGGTTTTTAGGTTAAAAAGTGAAATAGTTATATTCCTACATCAAAATTTGCAAAAATATAAATTATTTAGAGAAAGTAATAAAACTTGATAAATTTATCCAAAACTTACACAACTCAACACCTAGATTTCTATTTCGCTGAATTTTAATGAATTCCAATTCGTTAATTACCTCCGCAGACATTGATATGATTTTAAAGTAACTATTATTACGTTGTTACATCATTAGCGTTAATAATTTCACTTTCCGTGATTTGCGTGTCGAAGATTTGCTTCAAATTTCAAACCAGCCTAGTGAAAGTAATTACAACTGCTTACTTACTTAATCAATCTGCTAATTTCCGGCGGTATAGTCAATAGATTGTTGTCAGCCAAGTCCAACACCAGCAACGAGGAGAGTTTGAGAATACTGACTGGTATCGACTGTAAGTCGTTGGAGCGTGCGCTGATCACCTGCAGGTCTTGCAGACTCTGAATCGACTGGTCTGGTAGAATGATGTCTTCGACATAACAAAACGCGTTGGAGTTTATGTTGGTGTTGGTGTTTGAAGTGGTCATGCTGGCGTACGGAAATGCACCGGTGGTGAAGGAGCCATTGTTGTTTTTGCAGATGCCATTCAGATTAAGTCTCTTTAAGTGTTTTTCTTCTATTTGTACGCGTTCGCTTGATATAAAGGTCTCTGTCTGAAAGATAGTTAGAATTATAGGTTAGGTTATGTTTTGTGATCCTGGGATGTCATATGATATACTTTTGTAGGTTGTGTTTCATTTTCTTCATCTATACTATAAGCTTCTAATGAATCCAATTCAATAGCTTCACTTGTTTCATTACTGTATAAATCAATATTGTCTAAGTCATCATCTTCATCTTGATTTTCATCATCTTCATGCACTTGCATTAGGGTTGTGGTTAGAGCTGTCCGTCGGTGGTTCAACATCCTTGCAGGTTTCTTTGGAGCACAGGTTGTTAACAATAAAGCCGCACACATTTCACTTTAGGTTTATTGATGATGAACAATAAAATAAATAATAACACATAATCCTTTGTTTAAACAAGATGCTCACTGATGGACTGATGGTATGATGACTGACGGAAGAGACATTGTGATTTCTGGTCGTGTGCTCACGTGCTCACCTCTTTGAAATACCAAGAGGTGCTGGGTTTCAGGTTGTGGCAAATGGCGACGATCGGTGGAGGCACCCGAGGCATGACAAACGCAACGCCTGGCTTCATCCGAGTGGATGCCGCTCACGTCCCGCATGGTGACACGTCTTGCACTTGCCGCTCAAGAAAAACCAGAGATTATAAGCTTACTCAACGCATGGGTTTTTTTTGTCTTATTGGGAATGGTGTTGTGTTGTGCCAGTATAATGCAGCAAACTAAAAAATGCAATGCACGTGCTGGTACCTACCTTCTCAGTGAAGATAATTAGAATGCGGAACTGCAGCCAGTCGTAATAAGTGAAATAAGTGAAAACAACATGAAATAATGCAATAATTCAATGTAGGTATATTTTATTGTTCCACTTGAATTGTGGTTATGTTCAATTATTTTAAGGTTATATACAGTTATCTTGTAAAATGTGAAATAATTTGTCCACTTTTGTGTGTTGAACATCGTCGAAAATTGCGAACGTTTTACTGATATTTCACGCTGGAATGAAAGATATAACAACGCGAGTATCATCGCATCAACGGGATATGTCCCAAGTTGGCGTGCATTACAAGATGGCAGCAGATTGTACAGTTACATAGTTATCTTAGTTTCTATAACGTATAATGTCTTGTAATTTAAAAGAAACGTATTACTTACAGACGAGAAACGGAAGGTTAGAACATGTTCTTGGTAATGTTGATGAAATTATGATGAATTTAGTCGTGAAGTTGTCGACGACAACCACAGGTAGCTTTGCAGTTATCAAACCTCTCTTTACCACTGATGGTGTTTTGTGTGTTGCATAACCAATTTGAGAAGCGTTTCTTTAGTTGTCGACAATTCGCCCATATATCTGCAACTGGGCATGCATTTGTGCAGAATTTTTTACCAACGCAGGAACGTGGGCATAATGAACATGGTTTTCCTTTTTTGTATGGACGAGAAAGACGCATTGGTTTGTTACCCCTGAAATTAATTTATTATTAATGGAAGGAAACTTTGATTAATTAGAAATGTTTATATTTACATAGGACAATAATTGCAAACGTAAACAAAATACGTCCGGGATGAATTGTTGCCGAAACGATGACATTCGTTGATAGCACAACCAACTAAATGTGTTGTTGCCCAAACCATTTGGGTGTAATGCCCTATAACGTGTAGATCGTTACCTTTTTGACCATATTTAAAGTCTTTCTTTTCAAGGTACCAAGTTTCAATTGCAAATCTCCTAAAATTCATTTTAATTAATTTTACTGATTCTTATTTTTTGTTTTTTTTATTACCATGGGACCTTTTGTGATGCAACAAATATGTTTTGACCACAAGCACCAAACCCATGCACAGATCGCCCTTGTGGTTTGTCATGGGTTAACATCATGCATTCATTCGCCCATCGTCGAGCTGTTTTGCTGCACCTTTATGCCACTTCATCAGTAGCATATTAGCTGCACTTGGTTCAACTCTACTTCGGAATGAATTGTGCCACATTGTGATTGCCATCTGCACTCTTTTGTATTTTGGCGATAATAAATCCAGTGAGAGTTTATTACCCATGACTTTAGGTCCTTTTAAATTAAAATTAAAATAAAAAATATTTATAGGTTATGAATTAATAGCTTACTTCGATCAGTCCGCCATGTTGAGTTTGACGTGTAAATGCAACCAGTTATACACAAAATTACCAGAGCCGAAAGAAATTTCAACATTTTGTTTAAATTTCTTAACTTTGAACAATAGATACTGCAGCCATTTGGGAAGTCTTGATAATTGCGTCAAGATCGAATCACTTGAATAAGCAAGTGAATTGTCAATGAAGTGTAGCATTTTGCACAACTGATTAATTGCAAAGTTTGCATTGGTCACATTAATAGACGATATGCAAAATAATAGCACGCGGAAAGGTCATCATCAAATACATCATATAACACAATGTATTATTTCGCATAGAGTCGACACTATGCAAAAACTGTTTAAATTGGTCCTTCAGTAGTGTAATTGTTACAATTTATTTCGTTAAATTATTTGTAAGTAGAATTTTGCATTAAAATTGTGGTATAAATGCAGCCCAGACTATTTATAAATCATTTCTTAATGAGAATGTGCTTTCACAGTTGCGTGGCACACATAAGAGGAGATTGACATTAATTTAAAAAACATATCAAGCAATCATAAATTCGTCTATTAAATGTTTAATGTTACTGTATATGAAACGCTACACGAATTAAAAATAAAACTCATAAGTTGTTATTAACGAGTAAACACTACAAAGTTAATCGAAATAGAGAAAGTCCGTGTTGAAAGTTCCTTTTAGTATGAGGTGCAACAGTACATACTCGTAGCTGTATAGCGTAATATTGATTTTTTGAGCTACTGGTATGTCCACGCGTTAAATCTGTTTGTTACATGCAGCGCCATCTATTTATGTATGCTTGAACTAGGTTAAGAGCTTTCACTTTGCGCTACCCGAAACAGTAGCACTATCTATGTTCGTCGGAGAAAAGCAAGGAGCATTATTTTATAATCTATAGTAGAGAGAGCTACCAGATGGACGAGAGAAGTAAAAGTTGCCTACGTTAATTGTCTAAAAATAGCTTTTGAACTGTTTTGAATAAAATTCTTAAGATTTAGTGATTTTTTCACTTTGAATCTCAATTAATATGTTGTTAAATAGAAACAAATGTAATTTGATTGTCATTTATATAACAAGAATAAAATTTCATTTATATAGATAGTACATTTGATACAAGAAAACATACAGACTGGGGTTTATCTTCATAAATAAATATTAAACAAAACGTTCATATTTTTCGCTCCATCAAAATACACATTAAAATACCTAATACACAATAAATAAAAAAATACAAAGCGTACAATAATATACCTACAATAATACACCATTAAAAGCATTTTCCGCAAATTATCCCGCAAATATTCAACTTGCACTTATTTATTCTTAATTTTTGGACCAAAATTTACGTGAGACAACAGCACACTGTTAAGAAAAATATGTTTATGATTAGTTTCAATTAGAATCGATAATATGTTTGATATATACATTTATATTATTTTTATCTGATTAATATACGTTTAATAAAATTTGATTTGTGAATTTACAATAAATTCCCCTCATAAATCACGTTTTGTTTCATTTATTCATCATGTTTACACTTAAGCAACAGCGTTGTGAAAAAATATGTATGCGTTGTCATGTTAAATGGATGAATCCTTGACAAGATAATCGATAGCTTTACCAATCATGTTTCAAGGACTCGTTTATTATGCTATCAACAGATACACATTGTTATGCAGTTTCATAGTAATTCAAATAAATTCATTTTAAAATTTAAAATTAAAAATTTTAAATTTTGTGTTTTTAGTGATTAGATTAATTAATTTTTATGCGAAAGGCTTTTTGTTCCTGGTTTTCGTCTTATAATATAATTCTGATATGATGACATTGTTCTGGTATATAAAGTCACAAGTTTCACGTTTCAAGATTAAAAGTCCTTTGCATTGTCACATCATTAATCAAAGTCGAGTTCTTCACCAAGGTCAAACGCCCAGCCCTCGCTCCTGTTGCTCCAGGAGCGAGAAGCAACCCTCATGTCCGCACAAATTTATACACCACTGCAAACACTAAAACACTGACGAGGACCAACACCAGTGCTGTGACGACTTTCGCAAAAGCATTCAGTCCACTTTCGTTGGGATCCAAAGGACGACTGGCGTGCTGTTGCTGGGAGCGTCTTCGTTTGCTCGCCAAACCACGCGCCAATGCTGGAAAGGCAAGACTTTGAGTAAAAGTGAGTTTGTGCAGGCTTTCGCTGAGAGAGTAAGGCCCAACTGAACCACGTGCGGCCGCACGAAGAAGCGCATATTCTAAATCCAAGGCATCGAAGAGAGAATACCGGGCGGTCATGGTGGAAGACCGCCGACGGTTGTCGCATGGGTCGCTGGCCCGCTGACCGATTGCCGCCACCGCCGCAGCGACCGAAGTAAGTGATGATGTTGTAGATGACGAGGGGGATCCAACATGTCCGTTTTGCAATTCGGTCATATCCTCGATCGAAGTCTGCTCGGGTGATGACGACGTATAGGAACGAAAGATACGCGCATGATCCGGATGGAGTAAAGAACTCGATGGTCTTCGATCCCGTCGGAGGCTTGGTGTTGGTGAGGTGAGCGGTGAGGATGTGTGATTGATCATTGAGTGACATGGCACCGGTGATGGTGACACCTGAAACAATCCAGGTAATCAATAAAAGCAGTTCGTTAGTGTTTTTAATTACTTGAGTTGACTCGATGCCGGAATCGTGATGATTGTTCGCCTCGAAGCAGGAGATGACGCAGTTTGCGTCCTCGGCGCAAACCGGAAACACGAAGCTCTGACCGTCGGCTTCGCCGCGCGGGGAGTCGGAACTAGGCCATACCTGTTGACGGAAAAAAACAAAATTTATCAACGCCGATCAATGGTGGGAAAAATGTTTGAATAGGGCACCTGTAGCAGGGGTAGCGAGCAATTCGGGACAGGTTTCCGGACTTCCTCCAGTGGAGAACCATCTACTCCTCCAGACTCGCACTGGGAGCTTGCGCTGCTCGAGTTGGACGAACGCACAGCCGTCCAGAAGCGTTTTAGGCCACCACATTCACGGGGCTTCTGAAAGAAGAGAAAAATACATGAATTCGTTTGACAAAATTTGTTAATGGATGGTTTTATTCTAAAAATAACTTGTGAAAGCCACCCTTGAGTTCTTGGCACAGATATCAAGGTCAGAATATTATAAAATGACCCTCAAACACTTTTAGCAAATACTAAATGAAACCTTTTTTGCGTTTTTTCTTTCATCCATAGAGAATTGTGTTCAATTCCGTTGCAAAAGCTAAAAATAAAAACTTTTTAAATTTTTATTTTTGTATATTTATAAATTAAACTAGCTGTTGCCCGTGACTTCGTTCCGGTAGTGTTTAATAAAAATGTAATTCGTTTTTACTCTCTTGTTCTAGACATACTCGTAGTAAGAGTCAATTCTATCAATAAGATTAGCAATTTTAATTTAAAGAAATTAATTATATAAAGTTTTGTCAATAATGTCAATAATTTAACTATAACTATGATTGAATCTCAATGTCAAATTTTATTCTATAGAAAAGAGCTGTTTTGAGGATTTTCCCGGCATTTATTCGAATTTTTCTCACCTTTTAAACCTTCCCTAGACCTCCACGAATAATTCAAGACCAAGATAAGATAAATCCGTTCAGCCGTTCTCGAGTTTTAGCGAGACTAACGAACAGCATTTATATATATATATATATATAGATAATAATAAAATATTTTATGCTTAAAACAATGTATGTACGAGAATGTGCTCGCAATATTTTTGCAAGTTTTGCATATTTGCGCGGCAAATATTCGTAAAGTTGACGGACATCTTGCATAGAGGATAAACGTCATAAAATTTTAAGAATAACGCTTCCTCTGCTGGAAGGATTTAGCCATTTCTATCCGTTTCTTGCTGGACTATTTTTATGTTAAGTCTTCCGCTAACTTTGAGACGAAAGTGTCGGAAACGACAGAATTTCATAAGCACCATAAATCTTTTCACACATATTGAATTTTTTCCTCGTCAGCAAGTCGACAGATGTTCTCTGCATGCATTTATTTTATTCACTGGAAGGTTAAACATTTTCTTTTATATTCTAAAATACTAACACCTAACCAATCATATACAACTTATTCTAACCTCAAAATAAATATTTCTAAGCGGTCAAGTTTATCATTCCATTCATAGAATATAAAGTTTTCCTCTATTGCAGGCAATAATTTATCGAACAGTATTAAAACTTCAGTTCAACCGCGACTACAGTGCACTGTTTATCGATATCCATAATTTATGAAATGATAATGATGCGCGCGCGTGCCAAACTCTAGTTTCTTGCTTCCTTCCTTCCTTCCTTCAACATTGTGAAATGTGAATCCTTCTTGAGTTTCGTGTTTAACACAGCAATGGATTTCTCGGCTCTTAAATCTTCTTCATGTTCATGTTCAGACGCTTCTTGCGGTCCTTCTCCTCCACCGTTTATCACGCGGGATTTCGAGCCGGGTGATTATTTCATCTCGCTTAACATTCTTGCGCGGCTTCCTCGTTTATCGCTTTTCTGCATGCGGAAAACCATCTATGACGCTAGTGTAAGATTGAAACAATCTGTTCGCGTCCTCGGTTCCTTCAAGTCTCATTTTCTTGCATTTGTTTTGGCTGAAGTGTTATTAATTATTCGCACGAGTGTTATTAATTGTTTAACATTAATCTTTTGGACAAAAATAAAATAAAATCAAGGAAATGGTTAAATTTTAAAATAAATAATATTTTTGCGTGAAAATCTGATGTGTATCCAACTGATAAAATCACACATATTCATTTGGGAGTGTAATCAATCATGCGTTCACAAACATTACGTTTTCAAAGCATATTTATCCAGTGTGTGTGAAAATTCCACTCAATCAAAAATGTGGTTACGGGGCAACACTCTGATTATCGCCTCCAGGCGTTGCTATTGTATTAATTCTCGTTATGATGCACGAGGAAACGACGCCGATGCAAATTAATTGCGTCATTTAACGTCCCCCAGCGTGTCCGCACGAATGTTGCGTGTCCAACGCCGTAATTAAAAGTTAGCACATTTTGTTTTTATTTTTTTTTGCGTAGTAATGTTACCTGCATGGCCAAACGATGTTGCTAACAAGCAGTGTGCAAATGTTGATGTCCTGCGGTTTGGGGCGTAAGGGTTCTCTAAACAAAACAAGCGCAGTGCTCGCCTACGCAACCAACGTGTTGTGCATTTCTCTCTGCTTGTTCACCCACTTGCTTGAAATGTTGACATAGCGTAGGATAACACAGGATTACAATAGATTACTGAACAATATGGAGGAGATTAAAGCACAATTGTATAACCTCGCTAATTACACTAACTTTTGTCTTTAGGAATGTTTATAAATAAATTTATAAAAAATTATCCCAACAGAAATAAAAATAGCAATCATACAATCAAAACAACCATAAATAACCTATAAATATACTCGGTTTGTAAACATAACCAAACACATACTCGTACGACGACTGAAGAGACAATTTGTGTGATTTTATGTTTTGGCAAGCTCCACAGCGCCACAAATGTCACCAGTTCACATATTCACTTATCCGCATAAATGTACAACAGCGTGAAATGAAAGACAATGACGCCAAAATATATCCACCGAAATAGACTCGCCCTGAACCGGCGTCAAACTTTTTGCGTATTTTAACCATTTGATACACAACACGAATGTGTGTATACAAAAAAGGGTTGCAAACTGAAAACAAAAGTGACCTTCGCATTTGACTTTCATTATAATTCAGATTTTCGGCGTGGTGAGTGAACTTTTCATTTTTGACATTTTTTCCACACATAAAATCTAATTTATTTCACGTTTAAATGTTAACGTGATGCAAAACATCCAAATTGCTGACGGGTTTTATTTTGATTTAAATTATTCAAGCGTAACTAGAGAATTGAATGCAGTTGAATTATTGAAAATGGTTGCTAATGGCCAGTTGCTCATTAAACCTAAGTACGCACGAGGCGTTAATTGTGTGTACACAGCACTTGATTCCCGCGCAAGTTCACGCATGCATTTCGCGGATTAATAATGCAACGAACAAGCAAATGAGTGATTTGCGTTGATTGTTACGTTGTTGTGTGCGAAATTCGCAAGATCTTGGTGTGTTTCTTGGGCGTCGACTAATGTTCCAGCAGCCATATTCTAGCACAACACAAACAAGCATTCATCAACGCTGGAAATTCCATTAAACTCGTCTCACATTGTGTTAATTGTTTCAGTTGTTTTGTTGTTTACTTTGCGCTTTGCTTTCTGCGCGTTTTCCGATCTTGCTGCAGGCACTTTGATTTCATGACTCCGCATGAATTCTGTTTGTGTATCTATCGGATTTAGGATTCATCAATTTCAAAAACTTTGCGTTTATTTTAATTTAAACGTTGGAAAATATTGAAAACTTGTTGAAATACGCAATAAAATGTGTTTGAATGAACATTAAAAGCTTTTCAAGGTTTTTGCGGCATAAAACCTGAACTGCCTGTAAATTTGGTGGCCTATATTATTCGTTGTGTGCTATTAAAATGGAGCGGTTGGAAATCCAGGAAGGATAATTATTCTCCACACCTTCTGCAGTTAAACACGCATTGCTGCATTTCCCACAATCGTTTTCCTCGTAGAACCTTTTTATTTTCTTTTTCTTTTAGTATTGCCTTACAACACGTTTCAAAATTAAGTGTTTTACATGAAAACGCACAACATTGAAGAAAGTAAGCAATAAAGCAATGAATTCTAGGTGTGAAATTGGCGACCTAGGCGCGGATGGAATATGAAAAGCGCAGGGAAAGTAATAAAGCTGAAATATGCGAGGTGCGTTTGGTTGAAGTTTTGAAGTTTGCTGGAAGAATACGGAATATAGACTTAGATGGCCGAAAAGTAGGCCGTGGGAAGATCATTTTGAACTTGAGATTTCCTCAGCCATCAGAAAAGTTTCAGCGTGCGTAAACAGAAGAAAATGAAAATGTACAGGTGTGATATTGAAAGTTACTTTTCAAAACAAACATAATGAAAAGAAAACAATGCTGGACTATAATATTTTCACAGTTAAAACATTTTCTTTTAAATTTTACTTTATTTCAATAATGATAATGCATTAATCTTTAACTTCTGCAAACTTTAGTGATTTCACACTTTTGTTTTCGTTAAGTTTTAACTCACACTCAAAGAAAACGAAAAGATGGCGACATTTTTATTGCCACAAGGACAAAAAAGTGCTTAATGTGTTCTGAAAATAATTCTATTTGTACGAAACAAATGCCAGTAATGCTACAACACGCAAAAATGACCAAAACAAAGCTTAATGGATCACAAGAAAAAGTGAAAAAGTTAAAACTGAAACAAGCATTAACAAAAGAGTATTATGTAATATTGGACTTGTGCCAAAACTTTAAAGAGCACATTTTCAAAGAAATATTTAACAAATTCTTCCACACTGAATATTTACATACTTATACTTGTACATTGTTTCAACTCAACTTTACTACCCGTACTTTTTGCTCAAATTGCGTGTATGATATTTCTAACTTATGTTCAACTTGAGTTTTCGTCCTGGAAACATTTTGTTCAATTTCATTTCGGGCGCGAAGGCGTTAAAAGCAACATTATCAACATTCAACGCCCCGGAATGTGCTGCTGTTGGTGCCTCGCAGCGAAATAATATTTATTTATGATCGCGTTTTATATTCTCTTACAAAATGGCGCACGAGTTGCCCATATTCACGCTCGTTTTAATGCTCCTTGAGGACTTTTCATGCTCCATTGCCCAAAATGCAAACATGATGTTAATCTTATTTTTGACGTTTTTTGCGCGCAGGAATTGATTAAATTTCCACAACTTCAGATACGCAATTGTTGGAGGGAATCTCATGTCAGCGCCAAACATGGAAAACCTCTCGGGGGGTTTTGCGTCGCGATGGAAATGCATGCGGCGGAAAGTTTACACCGTGCTGAAACACTGAAATATTGAAATATCGGAACTTGACGCGCGGCTCTGTAACTCGGTAACTCAT